GAACGTCATTCACATAGAAATTAATATAATACATGCTTGGGGTGTAGAACTGTGCCTAGCATCAGCAGATAATAAAATGATAACTGTGGCAACAATTGCTATTTTTTTCTAAACATACAAGAAGAGTTTAAGCCAATATGTGGAGTTGCAAATTAATGTAATCTATTAATGGGGAAAATGTGAAAAACAATTTGGCTTAATAAAATAGAAGATTGTGGAGTAAAAGGCAGGAAAATTTTAAATACTGTATTACAGTTGCTTTTCTGTTCCTAGGTGGTAAGTTCAGATATTATCCTCTAGTAAATTTAGGACAGATCGATAGATTTGAATGGGTAAATATTATGATGAAAATTATGATTTTTTCCAGTAAAATTTCAAGTGCTGACATGTTAAGTAGATTTTAGAAAATCTATTTCATTGACCTTCCCATACAAATTCCAAATTGGCTTCATTCACAGAAATTAATGAGTTTCACTCTGTCCCATTTAGTCTTCTGGCAAATCTAATTAAAGGGACAAGCCAACAATGAAAGAGGACAATACAAATTATAAAAACAGAATATAACACTTGGGCAATGTAGTAAACCACTTTACTCAATCCCATAAATATTCTACTGATTTCTTACTAAAGTTCATGGAAATTAACAAATTATTTCAGTCACATCAATTGATCTGATTGTTCATGTAGACACCAGCCACTGCTTGAAATTGAAATGAAAGAGTTAATTTGAACATTCGCAGGAAAGTTAATGTGAAACATATAAAACTAGCTTTGAAATGATAGAGAAAATTTAAACTATAAGTTAGTTATTAAGATAGCTGAAGTAGAATAAGTAATCCGCTTCTTTAAGATTTACCTTTCCTGTAACTCTTATTGTTTAAAGTGATGGCTAACTGAATCTTTGACCTGTAAGCTAACTGTAGATAACATTTAACCCGGAGAAAAGCAAAGTAGAAATGTTTGGGTAGTTTACAACGTATGTGTTTTAGGCACCATCTGTTTGTTATATGTCTGTGACTATAACCGTTAACAGGAACTAGTTGTAAAAGAGAAACAAAAATTTTACTAAGACCACCAGAAATGAGGTAATGGCTAAAAGAAGATATAAAAGGAAATGTTAAAGCAAAGGGCGGTGCGGATATTGATCAGACGAGTTTCTGGCCGTCCCCCTCCCTAGCGATTAAAGGCTTTGTATTTTTACCCAAATTCTGTGTCTCTGTACATTTCTTTCCACGAATCCGAAACAGAAAGAAATAGGAAGTAACTGTAGTAGCTTTATTAGCACCTTAAGATGAGCATTTTCTCAGTAGAACAATTATATTTAAGGACAATTAAACAAAAGCAGTTAAAGGTGGAAGTGCAAGGAACGGATTGCAGACCAAAACATTAGCACCTAATTTCATCACTCGTTTCCATTCTTTCAATCAAAACCTGAAGGTTAAGCAGTAAATTCAGATTAGCTCAGACTCCAATTAGTCCTTTTCAAGGCCCAGGGTAAGTTTTCTAATGTAATTATAAGTCTCCATTCTGTTGTCAAGGTGCTTCCTTTCCAAATAATTACTGTGAGTTTCCGAAAAGATTCAGGAAAAAAAAAAAAAAAGGAAAAGAGCTTGACTGTTCTTTGCAGCATGTGTTCTAGCTACTCTGAAAATGCTACTTACTAGTAATCATGCTAATTACTGATAGATTTGTATCTGCACTGGTGGTCAGGATCCATAGGAACTATTGCAATTGTGGGTTTATTATCACAAATGTTCTGCATTTCTTGGCAATTTCTAGGCTTAAACACAAAATTGTAATTTCATGGCTCCATACTAATACATCCTTTTGGGATATGTTGGGGTAAATGCAGGTTCAACTTTTTCCATTCCTGGGTTTAAGGGTTAAAAGTGAATGTGTGTGAGGTGTCCAGCAGAAATCATGATTAAACTGGCTATTTACTGTGAAGCCACTAACATTTCCCTAGGAACATTGACTTAGTGAATTAGTGTGGGCTCAAAGAGACTAAAACCATTAACTTAAAACTCAGCTCTTCTACTTGTCTCCTGCCTTCAATTTATATATCTTTCTCTCCATTCTACACATGGGGGAATTTTGGTTACAAGGGGCACTAAATGAGACAATGTATGCTTCATTTAACTTCATCTCTAAATTGGCCAGAGTGATAACTGCCTTCTTTATATTTCAACATCACTCTGTAGTTCACATGAACTAATGTACTCTAAACACTTTGAAATTTATGAACCACCTACAAATTTAAGGCACTTATAACTTTACTATTAAGAAATGTCACTTCAATAATTGACATTTAGTAAGAATTGAATCAAGGAAAATATATCCATAGTCCATGGTGGGAGGTAAGAAGGGGGATCAGCAATGACCCCAAATTCATATCCTGCTGAAAGTAGAACAAGACGGTCATATTTATATGTGAAATATATTGCTTGCAGTTTCTTTCCATCCATCACATTTCAGTTAATACATTTGGCAATTTGAAAATAAGAGTAAGAACAATTTTCAGGAAGCTAAGTATCTATAATTGGATGTTCAAGGCAAACTGACAATAATTCTAGAAATACACAAAAAAGACTTGATTATAAATTAAATATAAAATGGCTTGAATGTTTCAATTTAAATTTTAGTCATGTTTTGAATATGTAGAATATGAATATTTTAAAATTATATATAGTGAAAATAAAATCTATATACTGCCTTCCCTTAATGTATTTGTCTCACTCGCCCATCAATGCTTAACCACCCAGTTCCTCTCCCGAGATGAAACCACTGTTACCACTTGCACATGTACCTATTGAAAATATCCCATCCTTACACAAACTTATATATGCATATGTTTTTACAATAAGTGTAGCATGCTATGTATACTATTTAGAAACTTATTTTTTAATGAAGCAGTATATCTTTGAGACATTTTTCATATCAAATGTACAGATGTAATTAGTTCTTTTTAAACATGGCATTATATCATTATATGAAATTACCAGTTTTAACAAATCTCTTATTGTTGGATATATGTTTTTTCAAATATTTGGTATTACATGCAAGAGTAACCAACAGTAACATAATTGAATATATGATATGGATTTTATATTCAAATATTAAAATTTTGTTAAGAGTAACTGTAGTATTTATAAGATAAAGACTAAGTTTGATAGTTGTAGGTCTGTCTAAATTTTCCAAAATCAGCTTAGTTTTAAAAATCTTATTCGATTCTGTGAAGACAGTACCAGTTGTTTGAATAGGCCATCACTAAAGATTTGTTGGAAAAGTGAAAGCAATTCACTAAAATTTTCCTACTTCAGGCAACTCAGATTTCAGGAAAAGGAAGCCAATGTTTATATAAATATCCTTTACAAATATATTTCTGGTATATTTATTTGTTATCAACAACTAATTTTGGGAATCTCGCCAAATTTGTCTGTTTATCTAACTTTACCCCCATCCTGTCATCACCGTTGTTTTTCTCTTTCTCTTCTAAATATCCTGGCCACTAGGAGATGCACTTCTCCCATGTCACCAGGGAATTCCTAAACCAGTCAGTTAATGGTGGTTTAGTGATTTATCTTTTATGGACAAATTCTAGGCTAAGTCTCTGTGAATTAAATTATAAAGAAGTGCAAAAACATTTCTTTTTAATAGGCAAAATTCAAGTTGTATAGTTGAAACAAGATGGAAACAGAAGAACAATTAGAGGAATTCAAACATAAGTAATAGTTTGATATAAGGGTTGTTTGTATGACAATACATATAAAATTATCAATATGTCAAGTCCTTTCATTTCTTCCTTCTGGTACCAGTCAGATTTGTTACAGTACCCCTTTTAAAAAAATTTTCCAGACTCCACACTGGTCTAACTCCTTGATTCCCACCCCCACCCTGACAGAATTGCTGCTACACTCTTTTAGCTACTTTTGTTCTTCTCTAGTCTTTCTCATATATCTAGCATTTCTTTAGAGTACTTCCTCTCTGCAGTTATTAGATCTTCTTTTGAGTCAATGTTTTGTTCTAATAATCTTCAGTGATGCTCTAGCCTACTACATCATGTCCAAATTACTTTGAAAACTTATAGGATCCTTCAGAATTGAGTCTTATCCTCTGTATCTACTTTCATGTCCAATTCATGATGGTCACATCATGAGCAATTGCCTCTCTACCTAACCCCTTCTCACCAGACTCTTCTCCTTCAAGCACATGTTAGCTAAGTTCTACCTTTGTGCCTCAGTTTATGTTGTTAAACTTCCCCGAATTTCTTTAACTTTACTCCCTGTCTTAAAATCTTCTCTATCCTTTAAGGTTAATATGGAGATCCATTTACTTTATGAAACTTTCCCCAATACTATTCTGCCAAGCGATACCGATCTCTCCTTTCTCTGTTCTACAGGTCCCATGTTTATAGACTTGCATACAAATTGAAGGCAACAAAACAACCTTACTTTCTTCTCCCTTATCATTTAGCATAGGACTTGGTGCAAAAATATGATTAATTAGTATTTTTGATCAGTTACTAATAAAGATACCAGTACATTCTTATTTTGGAGGTTGGGGTAAAGAATGGGAGCTGATTTAGAGCCTTAGAAGGTTCATGCCACTAGAAATATACACCAGGATTATATTTTATTGAAAATATTTAGTTCCACAAAGCAAATATGTATGAGGATTTAACGTTTCTCTGATTATATTCTTAAATCTATATTTGTTAAAACATATAAGCTTGTAAAAAGCACCCAGAATAGTCCATTAGTTTGATCTTGTTAGAAAATCTAGCTGTTGAAATGACCTATTCACAGTAAATCAATGGCGCTCTAAATGTGCTAGGAAATAGATGTTGCATGGCAAGAGAAACAACTCAAATAGAAACACTGTCTAATAAATGTTTACGCACCGTCAAATCTACAAACATTAAATATCATGCATGATAGACTCTTTCTTATCCTGCCATTTATCTCAATTTTTCCATTACTTTCTTTCATTTTCTCTTCTAGCTTTACTCACAGACAAGCCTCCCAAACCATTGTTCCCAATGGAGAATCAGCCAAGTGTTATAGATGTCCAGCTGGGTAAGTCCCCTTCTGGGAATAATAGATTCAAAACTTGCTGTCTGTTAACAGATGGGGAAAATTGCATGAACCAGTAAAGGTTTATTGCAACTGTTATTACATGCAAATGAATTTGTGTTCTGCTCATTTATAACCCTGTATTTCAGTGCAATAGCAGTTTAAGGAAATGAGTTTGTATTACATTAAGGAATGGTAATACTAATTTGTTACACTGGGTATTAAGTATGCTGTATGACAGAGGTTGTTAACTACGTGATTGATAGATTCACAGCCATCTTCCATTGGTGATTGGTTTAGAGATTTTTTCATATGTCAGGCAAAAATTTTTATTTGGATGGAATTAACTCATAGAGAACAAGCACTTGGTAAAATAAGGCAGACCTTCAATGAAGCCTTTAAAATGATTTGATAACTATTATTTCTAGCAACACAATCCAGTGTTATTTAAAACTTGTTTTTAGGTTGGAATCCTATTTATGAATCATATGATGTCAAGAAAAGAAACAAGTTGATTTGTGAATGCTGCTACTGTCTTCTTATAGACTCAGATATAGACAAAAGGTTTTAAGCAGCTTTTTTGAGTCCCTGCCACTAATCCTTGTGTTTTAAAGTACTGTAAGCTTGAAACTCAGAGTCTTGATAAGCTCTCTTAGAATCTATGGCCTTTAATCTAAGACATGTCCTTTAACATTTGTGAGCTTTCATCTATCCTGAGTTTCACCACAGTACTCTGAATTTTTTCACTTTAAACCAAAGGACCACAAGAAAACTGAGGAAATATGCTGGAAATACATTAGGCTTATATTGATCATATGATTTTTATTACTACATTATTGTAATACATAATAATTACATTTTTCATGGGAAGTTAGTACATGTACATAACACATCTTAATTTATTTGTTATTCCCTTCCCTATCTCTCTGTCCCACTCCCTTCATCTCCTAATCCTTTTCCTTTTTGCAAAAGTTGATTAAATTTGTGATCCTAGTGTTACCCACCAATTATTACCAGGGAAGACGAAGTAACCCCAATATTTAAGTCTCTTAGAAAGTTTTTGACTTAACTTTCGATCTTTCCAATAAAACTTGAATTGTTAGAGGTTTATTTAGGTTTTATAATTAAATTTTTATTTTTATTGCATGGTTGTAGTACACAATGTTTGCATTCACTGAGGGGAGTTGATACATGTACTAACACATCTTAATTATTATTATTTTTTTTGGTACCGGGGATCAAACTCAGGTCCTTGTGCCCACATCTTAATTATTTTTCAACTCTTTCCCTACCTCTCCATATTGTGGTTCCCTTCCCTTTTGCAAAAGATTTATCTCCTTATTTCCTATAATCTAACTTTTATTTTGTTCTTTGTTTATTTTGGGGGTTTCTTATATGACAGAAAGCATGAAGTATTTAATCTTGTGTGTCTGATTTATTGCACTTAACATTATGGTCTCAAGGTGCATCCATTTTCCTACAAATGGCTCGTTTATCTTTCTTTTTGGCAGAGGAGTACTCTTTTGTGTATAAATATCACATCTTATTTATCCATTCTTCTGTTGATGGACATATATGCTGCTTCTAAGATTTAGCTGTTGTGAGTTGTGGTGCAATAAACATGGGTATGCAGGTATGAGTGTAATTTGATATCTTTAACTCTTTCAGGAAGATACCTAGAAGGGGAACTGCTGGGTCCAAGGAAGATCTCTTTTTAGCTTTTGAGGAATTTCCATTTTGATTTCCATCATAGTTGTACTAGTTTACATTCCCACCAACAGTGTAGAAGGGTGCCTTTCCCCCTCTATCCTCTCAAACATTTGTTATTATTTTATTTCTTGATTATCACCATTCTCTCTGGAGTAATATAGAAACTCAGCATTGTTTTAATTTGTATTCCTCTAATGATTAGAGATGTTGAAAAAGAATTTTATGTATTTATTGGCCATTTGTACTTCTTCTGAGAAGTGTCTCTTCATTTTAGTGGCCTATTTCTTATTGGGTCTTCTATTTGGGGGGATTCACACTTTTTAAGTTCTTTATATATTCTAGATATTAGTTCTCTGAGGAATAGCTGACAAATTTTTTCCTATTCTGTAGGTTGTCTTTTCACTTTTTGGTTGTTTCCTTTGGTGTGCAGAAGCTTTTAAATTTGATATGGTCTAATTTGTTAATTCTTGATATTATATTTTATGCAATCAGAGTTGTGTTTGGAAAGGCATTGCCAATGCCTATGTCTTCAAGAGTTTTACCTGGGAGCCGGGGATTTAGCTCAGTGATTCTGTCACCTGCCTTGCAAGCGCAAGGACCTGAGTTTGATCCTCAGTACCAAAAAGAAAAAAAAAAAAATACTTGGGCCAGGGATTTAGCTCAGTGGTGCCGTTGCCTGCCTCGAAAGCACAAGGTCCTGAGTTCAATCCCTGGTACCCTCCCCCAAAAAGAGTTTTATTTGTTTTATTTTTCAATAGACCAAGTGTTTCTGTTTTAATGTTTAGGTCTTGGATCCATTTTTATTTTAGTTTAGTACATGCTAAGAGATATGGGTTTAAATTCAGTCTTCTTCCTGTGGATAGTGAGTTTCTTCAGTACCATTTGTTAAAGATGTTATCTTTCTGCCAGTGTACCTTTTGGGCCCCCTTTTCAAAATCAGATAGCTAAATGTATCTGTGATTGCTTCTACTTTTTCTGTTCTGTTCCACGATCCACATTTCTGTGCAATATAGTACTCAAAGCATTAGCTTGAGCAATTAGGCAAGACAAAAAATAAAAGGGGTATATATAGGTAAAGAATAAGTCAAGTTATCGTTTTTTTGCAGATGATATGATCTTCTACATAGAAAACCCCAAAATTCTACCAAAAACCTCCTAGAATTAGTAACCAAATTCAGTAGTGTAGCAGGATCCAAAATCAACAGACAACGATCAGTAGCATTCCTGGTCACAAATAATGAACTCGCTGAGAAAGAAATTACAAAGACAATAGTATCAAGAAAAATTAAATATGTACTTAGAAATTAACCTAACCCTGGAACTGAAAAAAACTTTATAATGAAAACTACAGTACTCTGAAAAATGAGATCAAAGAAGACATCAGAGAATGGAAAAATATGCCATTCCACCTCTGGAGAAACAGAATCAATATTGTCAAAATAGTCATAATTCCAATACTGAATACAAATTTAACACAATCCCAATTAAAATACCAGCAGCATTGGTCACAGAATTAGAGAAAACAATCCTAAAATTCGTATGGAACCAGAAGAGACCCAGACTAGGAAAACATTACTGAGCAACAAGAGCAAGGCAAAAAGCATCACAATCCACAAACTCAAGTTATGTTACCAAGCTATAGTGATAAAAATAGTATGGTACTGGTTTATTTCTACCTTGAAAATGGTAGAGAAAATTACATTCTTAGACTTGTTCATTGCTTTGAAATTAAATACAGCACAATGTGGTCTTTAAATTTAGCATATCAATATGAATACCAATGTTCAGTATGTTAAAACAAAGAAAAGAGAAAATAATAAACATGTTTTCAAGCGTGGACTGTTCGGGTAATAACTATTTTGTAAATCATGTTAAGGTATTAACTGTGACTATGATTAAACTATGACTCTCACACATCCTCTGTGTCTCCTTCAAGTCATTATTTTATGTTAGAGCCAAATATAGATGTGCTGACACCCTTACTGCACAATAATTTTACTTACTATCTCTTTATCTCAAACTGGAATGTAAACATTCAAGAATACTCTGGTTTGCCCGCAGTTATGTGAAACCATTTAGTGCTCTTTTATCATTAGTGTACATGCAGATAACTAGTTGGATAAATTGTTTTTATTTGAAAATTTATATATTAAGTAGAGAAAACAAAATTCCTATGAATTTATTTGAATGAAACGAGTAAATTTTATATTTGTGGCCTGTGTCTGGGGGTGAGTGTTATTTTTTCATATTCCTGTGCCACTAGGCACACTTTACAAAAGTCTGAAATGTATTGCTGTAAAGCAAGGAGAGAGGCCATTGTGTGAAATTCATTCATTCAAATTCACTTGCTGCAACACTTGTATGTGCTGTTCCAGTTATCTATATTGTGTGCTTTATGGAAACATATATAATATTAATATATAATAATATAATAATAATTATAACAATGTTAATATATGTATATATATTAATATTACTATCCTATAAAATTACTAAAATAATTTTCTTCCAAGTTACATTTAATGTAAGGCTAATATTTGCTATTTTTAGTTTGTAACACAATTTAGAAGCCAGTTTATTGAAAGAAATATGAAGACTATTTTTCATCCAAGAAAGGCTATGTCTCTGAGACAGTAAAACTACTATATGATTCAGAGTAAGAAAAGCAAAGTCAGTCAAAACAGATTGTATTACTTTAATAAACACATGACTAGCTAATTTTACATGATTTACCTTTTCCACAGATTTTTTAACACCATTTTTTCACAATGGGAAATCATTTTGTAAGTTCCTTTTACATATACCTCAATAGTAAGGTGAATTTAGAAACACTATAAATGTCAAAGGTCTTCAGCATTGCTGGAAGATCTACAGAGAGTTTATAAAACACTACTTATTAAAACAAGGAGATAGATAAGGCTAACTGGGGCTATTGGACATCCCTATATATGTCTGGAGAACTTTCCCAATTCAGTAGGTAAGGAAAGCTAGAAATTATTTTACTTCATTTTCTAAATTTTGTCAAGCACATCAGCTCTAGACATGTTTAAACTGGAAGTAAAATTAGAACTACTAAAAGTGCAACAATCCAATCTGAATGGCTAAGCACATTATTAAGTTTGGGTTTTCCAAATCCAGCGACTTAAAATTTGAGACAACATTGTGGCAGGTTAAATTTGGTTATATATCTTTTTGCTATTTCTATCACTTAAAAATGGTTTTTCATTCCCCTCCCCCTTAATCTATTTTGGCCTTATAGATATATTTGACCAACCAAATATGAAATAAGTGAT